CAGAGAACAAAGACAGTTTGTTTCTTTCCTTTCTTTCCTTCTAAACATACAACCATGGAAATTTGCCATATTCTTTTGGTAGCTTGACACTCACCACCAATGGAACACACCACTGTAATCATGCTATTGCAGCACTAATTTTCTGAGGAGATATATTGTGTGTATGTGTTGTGTGCCTTCAAATCATCGCTGACTTATGGCAACCCTGGAAAACCTGTCATGAGGTTTTCTTGTCAAGATTTGTTCAGAGGAGGTTTGTCATTGCCTTCCCCTGAGGCTGAGAGCATGTGACTTGTCCAAGGTCACTCAGTGGGTTTCACAGCTGAGATGGGAATCAACCCTGGTTTCCAGATTCCAATCTTCAGAATGTTGTACCATGCTGGCTCTTGGTTAATTAGCAGATTTTTTTTTTTTTACTAGAGTGCCCTAGAACAACTCAGTTTAAGTAAGAATATTGGTTTGTGGGTGTATGAGAGAGAAAGATATAAGCCAGAATTCAGTATGGGACTTGAGAAGATTCACAGTGTCTGTATTCAGTAAAAATTGCCTTGATGTTACTACATAGAGGAGCCAATGAAGTGACCAATGCACAAAAGGACTGATGCATAATGGGACCAATATACAGTGGCAGTAAGGTGCATCAGACACCAACCAGGGAGTTCCAGTGAGTATCAGTAGAGACTGATGTACATTAGGATACTTTTGTCAATGCTTGATATCATCTTCACAATTCACTAACAGGTTTCTTATCACCTCTGTTATTTAGCTAACTATACATAAAGTTCTGTACCATAGACTGTGACAGAGAATTCTCACCATAGGATGTAAGTGTGTGAGAGAAAGAAAGAAATAGATCTAGCACTGATCCATTGATACTTCTGTTTAAGCAGAGTTCAGAACACAACTACTGGGCAATTCTGAGAGTTTAGGATATAAATCCTTGAAATAAATAAATATATTTATTTCAAGGATTTATATCCTGCCTTTCTCCCACAATACAATTCAAGGTGGTAACTCTGTTCAGGTCTGAAAAAGCAACTGTTCCAAACTGCAGATAGGTGATGATGTAATATTCTTGGTAACAACTCCAGCACCCTAGAGTCATAGGGCCCAAAGTATATTTTCCAGTCTCTGGGTAGGACAGATATTAATCACAGTAGAATGGTGCTCCATGCATCTTCAGCATACTAATAACATACTTTCTGCTTAGTCCAGAGGTGGATAGGTACTACTTGTGATATCTCAAGTTTGTTCTTCCAGCCCTCAGCTCCCCTTAGTCTTCCTCAATTGTCCTTTTTTCTCACAAATAAAGAGAGAGAATAATTTGCCCATCCTAGAAGCCTTTGGCAGCAGCAAATCATCTGGACAATAAGTTGTCCATTTTGTCATTGTTTGGCATTTTTTGGAAGTCTATGTTGCCTCCAGAAGATTTCAGAGGCAGAAAACTGGCACTGGACCTGCTTCTAGCTTAGACCATCTGTGAAGGGTGCATGGTGACCTTAATCTAATTCAGAGCTTTGCATGTTGTGAAACAGATTGGCAGTAGTGTCTGAAGGATGTGAAAGCAGAAGAAAACCCTACAACTTTCTACAAAGCAAGTGCAAATGAACCCTGAGTTAATACTTCATATTATGAGTTCATATAATTTTTAATATGTTAAAAAAATCTGTTTCACTTCAGTGAACATCTGGACCCCCCTCCCCCGGAAGAGTTCTGGCTTATTCCCACATGGTTTCATTCCAGCAATAACACAGCAGAATGGCAGTTTCCCATCAATTTTTTGGACCATACCCATAAGTTTGGGAAAGAGCAAGTGAATTCCATTGCCCAGCAGAAGTTCTGAAGATGAACAGTCTCTATAGAGTTTGGTTCTCTGGGACACAGGAATGCTGACCATGTTCATCTACATGATATAAAGAAAAGAGAGTCAGTGAAGGAAACACTCTGCACTTCATTAAATTCATTTGTTTCATTGCTTTTCTCTGCAAAGGCCTGACAGGCGGTATATTTCTACTGATTGCAAAACCTTCATATTAGAATGCCAAATAATGTCTTAAGAAGACAGAGCATAGTAAACAGCTGGTTTATAATTAGTTGCACAAATTATAATATATTTTCTATTGGCCTTAACAATAGAAATGCTGGATAAAGAAATAGTGGCTTTTTTATTGGGTGCCCTGGTGTGCAAGGCCAGTTAATAAAAATAAGCATAATCCATATGCGTATCATATTTATTCCTGGGGAACTGCTTGGTCTATTTCATACTACACAGTTATACCACTTGGATGCCACTTAAATTGTCATGGCTTCATTCTATGGAATTCTGGAATGTATAGATTGGGAAAGTGCTAGAGTTCTCTGTCAGAGAATAAACTACGAAACCCAAGGATCCGTAAGATGGAACCATTATAATTAAAGTTGGCAAGTTCTTGTTGTTGTCATATTTATATCCCATCTTTCTCCCAATATAAGGACTCAAAGCAGCTAAAAGCAAACTTAAAACAGTACATTGGGCCCTTGGTATCCCCTGGGGCTTGATTCAAGGACCACTCCATGGATACCAAAATTGGTGATGCTCAAGTCCCATTAAATACAATGGCTAGAAAAAGGGTGTTCCTTATATAAAATGGGAAAATCAAGGTTTGATTTTTGGAATATATATATATATATATATATATATATATATATTCAAGCTGTGGATACTTGAATCTGTGGATAAAGAATCTGTGGATATGGAGGGCAGACTATAAAATTTAAAAACAATACAAGACTATTGAAAAAGCATAACTATATAATTTAAAAAGTTAAGGCAATTACACATTAAAATTTTAAAATGTATTATATGTATAAACCTTGATCTGGCTTGTACAGCATTTAAAAACTCAACCCTTATCAACTGAAAAAGCCTGATGGCATAAACATATTTTCACCTCCCATTGAAAGGAGACCAGGGATGGGGCCATCCTAGCCTCTCTAGGGAGGGAGTTCCAAAGTCTGGGAGCAGCCACCAAGAAGGCCCTCTCCCTTGTTCCTATCAAAAAAGCCTGAGAGAAGAAAGGCCTCTCTGAACAATCTAAATGCTCTTGTGGACTCATAAAGGGAGATACAGTCCTTCAACTATTATTGAAAGGGATGTTCTTTATTTGAGGGCCAGAAAGCTTGCCGCATATAGGATTGGCAAATGTCTTATCTTATAAGGGACGTCTCTCTTTGATGGTTGGAAAGCTTTTCCTTTTATATAGGCTGAACAAGATGCCAAAAAATAAAATAAAATAAATCCTGTATTTTGGGGTGTGAGCCCTTCATAAAGAGAGAAATGTGTGCATCATGTAATTTAGGTAAATACATGGACAACTGAAGAACACAAGTTTGTTAACAGCTGCTTCTTGATTGTCTACCCTGTGTGTCATGAATTGTGACTGTCCCTTATTGTCATTTTGAAAACCTGGTAACCCTAATGCCAATTAAAGTGGTATCAAAGTGACACAACCATCTGTTATGAAAGAGAATTGTGAAGTGTGATGAACATGGTCCTTCCCTAGAAGGCAGAGTTCTGTAAAGCTCACATTCACTGAGGTTCCAAATTTCCTCCTGAAATCTCATTCTGACTCAAATTCATATCAGGCAGTGAGGTGCTCTCCATTCACACAGACATCTTTCTCTCAAATTTGAGGGAAGCTAATTTTTGGATTACAACTCCCCAGACAGCATATTTATGCTGAAGTGGAAGACAAGGAGTAGCTTGCAATTGCATCTCAAAAATTCACCATATTTACTATGAAACTGAGGCATTAAAGAAAGTCACTGAGTTGGAAGAACTCTGTGACCTCAGAATAGAAGAGATCCACCAGCAAGAGCATGTGTGCTTTGGGGTGGGGGGCCTGATCAACAGCTGTTGGAGTTGACTAAGGCAATCGAGGTGATTTCTACAGTGTGATTTGTAATTTCCTCAGAAGCCGCTCACCCTGATTTAATGGCACTTACTGCCAAATAAATTTACACTGAACTGCACCCTTAGAGAAGTATAAAGAAATTCATTTAGACCATTTATTTACACTGTTCTCTGTTTCATAATTCTGATAGTTCCTAAATTTCATTCGCATGCAGCAGAGGAGGGAGGCCAAGGATGGGCAATTTGTGGTTCTTCAAAAAATCATGGACTGCAACTCTCATCATTCTTCACCATTGGCTATGCTTCCTAGAGCTAGTAAAAGTGCCATTTAACCAAGTTGCTCATAATTTGCCTGCACCTTTTGGAAGTTTATGTTGTCCCAGACCGATTCCAGGTCTCACTAATATCCAGGTCCAATCTCAAATGTCTCTAACAGCAAACCCCCCCCCCCTTTCCTAAGGCAGCAGCAAAATCAGAGCTCAGTTAGCAAAGTACTTGTAGTTAGTTTATTCTCAGAGCACTTAAGATATAATACATTAAATGACACCTGCAACATAACAAGAAATAACTTCACTCCTTTTTGAGGTATAACTGTACCCTTCCAGATACATGCATAGTTACAGTTTATAGTATCACTAAATGGCAAAGGAGGAATATCACATGGTTCAAGTTTTGGCTCATGTTGTGTTTTCTCCTCTGTTGTGGGTGTTGAGGGAATGATAAGATGGATGGGAAGATAGTGTTTTGTATCACAGGCTAATGTTTCATAACATTAAAATATGCATTTTAAATTAACTAAAAGTAACTATTTATTACGTACCTTGAGAAATAGGAAAGCAAATTACATGGCTGGAATTCATGATTGCAGTTACGAATGTATAACCTAAAGTTATGCATCCTTGACTGATTCATATTCATATTCAATAGTGTAGAGAATATGTAGGGAACATGAAAGTCCTCAATCCAGGCTTACTGGAAAGCAGCCACTGTGAGCAACACAAGTCTGTTCTTCTGTCAGTAAGGACACAGCAGATTAATGTTTCAACCTCTTCCTATGAACACTCTCATTATCGGAAGAACAATCTATGATTGATAGCAGCCTATAAGGAGCCAACGTGGCATAGTGGTTTGAGTACTAGACTATGACTCTGGAGACTAGAGATTGATTCCCTGCTCAGCTATGAAATCCACTGGGTGACCTTGGGCAAATTGCATGCTCTCAGCCTCGGGGGAAGGCAATGGCAAACCTTCTCTGAACAAATCTCATCAACAAAACTCCATGATAGTTTCATCTTAGAGTAGCCATAAGTTGGAAATGACCTGAAGGCAACAACAAATGATAGGGTTGCTGCTTCTGACAGTTCCAACAGTGATCGCTCATAGCAAAAGGGTGGAAATGTCAGTCAGCTGCTTCCCAATTAACAGTATAATAGATCCCTGCCACTCAAAATGGCTGTTGTTTAGTAAGTCTGGATTGGGAAATGAGTCAGTCAGGCTAGGAGACACTACTTAGCTACATAACTAAGGCAATAACATGATTACCTTGATCTAGAATTGTAGCTTTAGTTTTGAAATGACGCTCTAATGGTAACCAACAACAGTCAAGGGTTAGGGGCACCCTCAGAAAATTGGAAAAATGTGAATGTCTCTAGGTCCCTGAAATGTATTGAACACAGAAAAAGTACTGTACCAGCAGGGCCTGATCTCACATACATTCCCTTGCTTGAATACTCAAGTGGGAATGGAGAAGGGCATGGGATGGGGGCAGGAAAATAGACAGAGGGGACACCCCTCCCCTCCCCTCCCTCCGTCACTGGCAACCATTGGGATAAGTTGGCAACCATTGTTGGGATTGGAGTCCCATGGCTACTCCTTCACTTTAAGAAGTTTCTTAGAGCTGGAAGTAGCAACCTCAACACATGAGAGTATTCAAGCAAGGGAATGTGTGTGGGATCAGGCCCAGCCACCCTGCTGGTACACTACTTTTTCTGTGTTCAATACAGTTTGGGGGACCTAGAGATAACAATAACAAAACAAAGGGACAATGTCAGGGGTAGGGGCACTGTAGTTCACATGAAGTCCCCAATCCTACCTACACCCTACAGCCATGGGGAGCAATAGAGCCATTGTATGGCCAGGTGAATCCTTTTCTCTATTGGAATTGATATGGAAATTACCAGTACTTGAAAATATGCCCAGTGATATTGCCTCCAGCCACCTAATTTCCCCATCATGGGTGTAGGTGACAGGGAGCCACCTCCAAAGTTCCTCTAAGCTCTGACAATTGCTCCTCTCAGCCTATTTAATGTCTAAGGAAAGACAAGGAGTAGGGAAATTGCCCGGACTATCTTGCTTTCTATTGACCTCCCTCTCTTATATTAATTGTTGTATAAAAAGCATTATTGCTTTTTTTTCCTTCCAAAAGTCCACTTCCTTCTAGGTGAGGCACAGGGGAATTTTGGCTTACCATGAATGGTATATGAGGGAGGTAAGAGATCCTACATAGCAATAATATACTGCACACAGAAATTTCATGGGAAGAGAAAGGGGAATTTCACACCTCAGTTCTCTAAGAAGCTACTTTGCCAGTTCATTTTGTGCACAGACACAACAAAGGAACCAAAGGAAGGGAGGAAAAGAGCAATGACATTACAAGAGAAAGAAGGCAAGACTATGAATAATGATATCTAAAGCATGGAAAAGAATTTGCATTTCAAAACACACACACACACACACGCAAACACATCTGGAATACATTTGCCGAGATGTCTCTGAATAAGAACACAAACCACAGGAGGAAAGGCAGACTAAGAATTACTCAATTCTTCTCGTCTTTTGTTCTCTTTTCTAGATTGGAGGATGGGATCATGATCTAAAGATTTTTCCCAATGCTTTATGCGATATCACAATGAAGAAAGAATACAATGCTAATAGTGAGTCTCATTTCTACAATCCCAATTCCATAGATGAAATTTATTTCCATGGATGTAGCTCAGTGGATTCCCCTTCTGTCTTCAGAGCACAATGGTGATCATGTATACCAGGCTGAATCTGGTGTGATGCCGTGTAGTTGTGCACATGGGCCAGCTGGGCTGATATCACATCAGCCCCATTGGCCTGTTCCCCCTGACATGTAATCAACAAGGATCACATGGGCACCCCATTTTAACTTCAACAGAGGTGGTGGCACTGGGCAGATTCTCTCATGGAGCTGCTTGGCTGGTGAGGCAGCGGTGGCAGCAGTTGCAAAGAGTATCTATCCTTTCCCCTGCACTGCTCAGTACAAGATAAGGAAGAGGACTGGCACAGATACTGAGCAAGCGAGAAAGAATGCTTTCTCACTTGCCCAGGAGGTGCACCAGATGCTATACAGGCCTTCCAGAAGCTGCAAGCGTCACAGAGCCCATCCAAAAGAACGCTGATATGGGTAAGTGAAACTGTATGCCACTGTATGCCAATAATATAATGCTAGACATGGTGTGTGTAGGAGAGAGAGAAAGAGAGAGAGAGAGTGCAGAAAAGGAAGTAGAAAATTAATGATTATGTCTTCTCCCCACCCCAAAAAAAGACTTCTATTTGCCCACTCCTGAGAGTGACTTTCTTTACAAAAAGTAGACATCTGGGCTTCATTATGCATTTTGTTTCCTCTTATGAATATATAGTTTTCCTCTAATATTGTATGGAATGCACTCCCCATTTCTAGTTTTCACAATATTTTGGTGCATCACATAAGGAAAATTCTACAATGGTGTGATGTAGGGCACGGGCCTTTTCTCACTGAAACCCACCATACATTCAGGGTTAGGAATCTCAACTCTTAGGTACATGTATATGTAGAGAGATTCTCCTTCAAGTATTAAAATCCCAAGTTTTTCCTTTTAAAAGGATTTTAAAGGTCTTTACCAACAGCTATAATTCAGACCAGAAGCTTATTGCAAGCCAGTTCAAATTTTCTAAAACTGGAATTACATGTTGTTGTATGATGTTCCAGTCAGCAATCTATCTACTGCATTTCATGCTAGCTGAAGTTCCTGGATCATCTTCAAGAGCAGCCCAACACAGAACTTATTGCAGAAATCTAATCGGTAATTTACAAAAGAATAGATTACCGTGGCAGATTTATCCTTACTCTGGAAAGCCCATAAATGGCATATTTGTCAAAAATGGCCCAAGCATTCCAAGCCACAGAGTCCAACTGTGTGACAAAGATTGATACAGGGATATTTTTAATTTGCACACCTGCTCCCTCTGTGTTGGCCAACACCATTGAGCAGGAGGTTGGACTCAATGGTCCACGAGGCCCAACTCAATGATTCTATTAATCTATGATTGGATGATAAAATGGGAACCAGATCCAGATCCCTGAACTGGTCTCTGAACTGAATCAGGGTCCTATGTACAACCCTACTAAGTACCATGGAAAAGGGGACCTTCTATGAGAGCACACCAAGGAAAATGACAAAACCTTTGTTTCCAAGGCTAATTGTTGATTGTCTATCCTCTTGACAATCCTTCAATGAGAGAACCAGAACCCACTCAAATTATTATCTTTCAAACCCAATGGGATTGATGGGGCAGTGGACTAAGCATGGGAGGGTTGCAGCCATAAACTCAAGATGTTATGTCAGTCTAGGAGTCATAACCCATAATATTGGGAAATATTTTCAGAATAAATTATAGTCCTGTTAATGAAGTTAAGATAGGAGAGTTTCCTTCTTCAGATTAGTGACTTGAAAGCTTTTATATAGGAAAAAGCAAAAGCAAAGCAGCTTATTTATATACCGCTTCATATCATGCTATGGGATGTCTAAGCGGTTTACAACTGTGAGCTGATTGCCCCCCAACAAGCTGGGTACTCATTTTAGCAACCTCGGAAGGATGCAGGCCTGAGTCGAGCCTCAGCCCTGGCTGGTATTGAACTCGCAACCTTGTGGTCTATGAGTGAGTGGCTGCAGTACAGGCATTTAACCACTGCGCCACCAGGGCTGTTAGGAAGGGTAAACAACAGGAAAATAAGAATGATTTATAACAGGAATTCCAAATAAACAATTAAAAGATGCAGAGATCCAGTGTAATCCAATAAGAAAATAATTAGCATCAAACAGCAGTTCCAAAGCAGATGGTTCAGGTGACAGTAGCACATTGGGAACGCTATGCTCCCAAGCATCCTAAAGATAGTGTGCCTACTTTGTAAGACTGGTGAGCTTGAAGTCTTCTTTCTCTCTTTCTCACTCCCCTCCTCCTATTTTGCTAAAGCCTTTTGTAGTTTCTGTCCCCTGCCCCCACATTCTTCACAATATGCACATTCAAGAGAAGCCCTGCTTTTCTTTCTAGGTACCTATGTACACAAAATGCCCATTCCGCATCCAACTTTGGCATCTATGGTATAATTTTTACTCAGCCTTCTTAACTGTTATCCACACAGCAACACAGGTGTAAACATTTTGCCCAGCCCTGAAATTCAAATGATCTTCACAGCCTCTCACATTTTTGAGAGATAATTTCTGCAGCAGGAAATCTTTTCTATCTGTAATGTATAACCACACTTTTTTTAGACTGCTGAAGAGAATTTAGGAGAAACTGGAAACAGAAGAACAACAAAGAAACAAAGGAAATGTGCTCATTCCCAACTGTCTGTCAAATTCTAGGCTGAAACATGCAAATCAACTTCCTTCTCAGGTTTTCCATGGAAATCATTAGAATAGCTTTGGATTATGCACCTGGAAAACAATTGCTGCTGTCATATGCTTGAGCACTTTATGAACTGAAGATATTCATCCTCAAGTGCTGTCAGTCCTACACCTATGCTGTGGCTCTATTTGCCTGCCAAGGCCCCTACCCTTGCCCTTTATCAACCCCTGGGTCATACAACCTAAAGAGGCAAATCCAGAGCTCCTCTCTTCACCACCAAAACAATGCCATAGGTGCTTTTCTCTCCAAGTCCATTATGTTATTTGTGTTCAAGTCATTTTTGCCTTATGCAAAAGGTGAACCTATCATGGGGGTTTCTTGGCAGATTTCTTCAGAGACGACTTGTCACTGCCTCCCTCTAAGGCTGAGAGACCGTGATTTGCCCAAGGTCACCCCAGTAGGTTTACATGGTTAAGTGAGGACTTGAACTCTGTTCTCCAGAGTCATAGCCCAATGTTCAAACCTCTATACCACACTGGCTCATCTCTCC